GTGGTGGTGGTGGTGGTGTGTGTGTGTGTGTGTGTGTGCGCGCGCGCGCGCGCGAGGAGTGTGCACTAAAGCTGGGGGACCTTTAGTTGCCCAGGCAAAGATAGAATAATGTAAGATGATATGGCAAAGTAGAGCCAAACTTGAATCTTTCTGTTTTTATTATAAAACGTGTAAACCTCGAGCTCCCTAAAGTTAGGTGCCAATTACAGAACAAAACATATGTGCTACTTTTCAGTGTAATTCCACAAGAAAGGAATGCCAACCAAGCTCAAACTGCTTACTGTCATGGAAAGCTACAAATCAGAGCAACATTCCAGACCAAATACTTTAGATTACTGGGACATGTTTCTTTTGACTACTGTGGGATTCACAGAAATATTGGGTTGTTGGGAAAGTCATGATGTATTTTTGCATTGAAAAACATAGAAAAATACGTCATGACTTTCCCGATGACCCAATACACACACACACACACACACACACACACACACACACACACGTGTATATATATTATGTATATAGTATACATAATAGATAGTATATATAGGTATAAATATACTTTCATGAATGATAAAAAATTTACATCTTCCCAAAACACAAACGAAGAAAACAGCCATAGAAAAACGTGATAGAATCCTGAAATAAAGTCCCTTTTGAACATGTCATTTAACAAATATCCTAAAGGACCAGTATAAACATATTAATGCCAATTTACTTGAAAACCACAAGGATAAAGATTTTAAATGCAGGGCTGTGAAAACCCTAATCCTGTATGAAGTTCCTGTATGGAAAATCTGGTAAATATGCTTACTGCTCCAGTTATTGCCATGGGAAATAAAACCTAAAGCTGACATTCTCCCATATGGAAAACAATCAAAAGGTGGTTAGAAAATTTTTTGAAAAAAAGCAAGCAAGAAAGAAAAAAGCTGAAAGATGTTGGTGTGGCACGCACCTTCTGTATCATCGCGCATTTGCTCCACCAAATCTGTCAAATCCTCCCAAGAGTCTTTGCAAACGGCAAAAAGAAAGGAAAAGAAAGATAAAGTGTCATGCAAGCCAAGAAAGAAAAGTGCTATTAAAAACAAGGTTTCAAAAGGGATAATTGGAAGGGAGATTCCTAGAACTCTTTGCACTTAACCCAGAGATTAATAGTGAAAAGGGCTGGGAACACACCCAGGGAGGGATATGACACTAAGCAGAGGTATCAACTATATTAAATATGTTTCAAAGCTAAGATTAATAATTTCCAAGTTTCTAATAAAAGGAAACTAAGATTCATATCCCATAAAAAAGTAATGCAGATTTTTTTTCCACTGAAAATCAAGATTAGGTTCTTTGTATTCTAAGTGTACCCAATGTTGACCTCATTCAACATTTATTTTGTTCACTTCAGTGAAGCTCAAAAACATGTTGAACATTTTTTTAGAACCAGGATTAAATTCCTAACTTCCATCATCATCCCAAGGGAAGTCATTTTATAAACAGAGATAGGAGACCAGAGCAGTTGAGAGAAGGAACTCAAGAACTAGAGGCCTGGGCTCATGTCCCAGCTCCATCCCTTCCTGGCTGTGACCTTGGTCCAGGTAAGGTACTTCATCTCTTTTTCCTCAGCCAGTTTACTCATCTATAAAACAGGGAAAAGAACAGTACCTATCTCACAGTGCACATAGGTCCCAAATCCCTTATGTGAATATTTTATGGCTACATGTATTCTGAAATTCAGAATGTATACTTGATTTTACAAAAGTAAAATGGAACACCATGAGGCCTACAAACATGCGGAACTAGCAGGGCCTGGGGCAGCACTTCCCAATCAAGCACATTAATACTTTGGCAGGAAATAAATATTAAAATTAAATAGGATAAATAAAGATTATATAGAACCTCAAGTAAATTCAAGCCATGTTTTAGTACCAAATGAGTTCAGGCAAATTTATGAAAAATGCTTTTGGTTTTCAGAGTTTTGGATTTTGCAATTGTGGATCTGTATGTGTAAAGCACTTAGAAAGTGTCTCATATAAAGAAAGCACAATATAAGTGTTAGCTACTATTTTTTCTAGTAAATTAGTGTTAAAATACATTATATAGACATTTGCAAATGTAATTTTCAGGTATATTCCTGTGACAATGTTACAGATTTATATTTATATGTAGGGTTATAAATTCACAAGAATGTACTCTTTTAACTATTCAGTTTGCCCTACAGACTTGCTATGCAATCTTGTGAAAATCAGTAAGTAAATATTCTTATTTTACTCTTTATTTTCTTGAAGTAGAAATTATACTTGTCACATAATAAAATAAAAGTCTACCTTATTAAAGCAAAATAAAAAGATCCTCCAAGATTAGTGCAAAGAGCTCTAGAAAGCGAACTTCTAGGAATGGGTGGTAAGTACAATGATCTACTTCTCTGACATTCCTCTCAGCATGACACATCTAGAGCACTTTTCTGTTCCAACCAGATAGTTTCTGTTTTGGTTTTTTAAACAAAATTTAAAGTTATAAGTGTCAGAGCAATGGAATCAATTTAAAAGAGTCCTCCTCCCCTGAAAGATCAAAGATGTGTTTTCTCGTTTTGAAGTTTACCTTGGCATGCTTAGGATTTTATTGTAATAAAAAAATGGATACAATGCTGTTCTTTACAACCCCCAAAAAGGATTTATAAAATATTTTTTAAAAAGTGTGCCCTTTGGAATATGTTCAAATTATTAAAACAACAACAACAATAAAAGCATCTAATACATGAATCAAAGGGGTGGATGGTGGCATGGACAACTTTCTTTCCCAGAACATTTCATTTTTCAAGGGACAATACTTTGTTGCCTTAAACATGTTTTGCCTTGTTTAAAAAACTATATTAATTTTAATTTGTATCATTAAAACACATATTCACAAATTACACAGAGGAGTAATCTAAAGGCTTGCTAGTTGATACTAAAGAGAGGTCTGGATTAAAATGTTGCTACAGATAATGCATAATCTATCATTGTGCCAGATGTGTACTATAAATGTTAAAGCAAATAGTAAGGGGAAGCTTCCAAAGCTACTATGGTTAAACAGCTTCAGGTCCCACTCAAAACACTGACTCACAAGGAAAGGAATGTATAGTTTAAAAATGCCAAAGGGACTGTCACTGTGAGCGGTGTCATGAGACTGGTAACGAAACATCAGGACCACCACTCCACTCCAAATGCTTGGATTAAATGGTTACAAACGCTGCACCTAACAGACTCTATAATCTTACTTTTAAGATGCATGTGAACTGAGACATTCTTAAAAGTCAAGAGATAGTAGACAAGGTTGGAACCCAAATTAGACGCATAGCTTATTTGAGGTTTACTCTACTATTTCCTTGGTTATTATTCTGTTTCAGGTCTAAGAATGAATAAATCAGCAGACTAATATATGTAGCTTTGGAAATCTTCAACTAAATTATACTGCAAAATATTTGATCATACACTAAGTACATAATAACTCAATGACGACAACAGTGTGGTCTGGTAGAAGGGGCCCTGGCTTTGACATTGAGACAGACCTGGGGTGCGCGGCCACTGCTCTAGTTACTTCTTTTTTCTTTGGATGTGGGAACTGGCTGAAACTCCTTCCCTCCTTAGAAGCAGCACTTGAATAGGCTCAAGGTGCCTATCCATTGTTTATGTAAACATGTTTGTGAGATCTCGCTTCTTCCTGATATATTCTTTCTGCAGGAGTATTATTACTACAGACAACAGAGTTAGAGTCAAGTTTACAGACAATTGTAAACAAGTTACTATCTCTTCTTGAGGATAGTTGTCTTTTATTTAGAGTGCTACTTTTTAAAAGTTTATTATAGTTTCTTGGGGGAAAGCCTTCCTGAAGCCCCAATTACTGATCACAAATAACTTTTAAAGGACTGTTGTGAAAATAAAAGCTAACAAATTTAAAGTACTTAGCACATCATAGATACTCAGTCTATTTTACCTTTACAAGAAACCAGTGTGTGCCCCGTATTCTGATTTGGCTACAAACTGGATTCCTCTATTTGCCATAATTATTCAAAGAAAACAGAGGAGATGGTATTAAAAAAACAAAAGTATTAATACATACTGAACACAGGGGAAAAAAATAACTCAAACGTAAGTAGACCAAATGACAAATTGAACAGCTGAGGTGCTGTTAAACTAACAATAATATAATTAGTTTGGTAACATAATGATAAAAATTAACAAAGGAACCATCAAGCTATTGTAATTTCAAAGCATGATTAAGAAGTCCTGTTCTAATAAACCAGTAATTTAGTCCAAGGTCTGTCTTCTCCCCACAGTACAGTAACAACAAAAAACATCAGCAAAGAAATAAAAATGGTCCTGGAAAAAGTAACATTATTGTGCTTTTTTTTTTCTAAATTTTTTATTGGGGAACAGTGTGTTTTTCCAGGACCCATCAGCTCCAAGTCAAGTAGTTGTTTCAATCTAGTTGTGGAGGGCGCAGCTCAGCGGCCCATGCCGGGATTGAACCGGCAACCTTGGTGTTATAAGCACTGCGCTCTAACCACCTGAGCTAACCGGCCACCCACCTTGTTGTGGTTTATAATAAGAAATACATATTTGGTCTTCATTCCCAGTCCCTGACAAAGGGCTCCAGAAACCCTTGTACATTTTTAAGTGATAAGAGCAGTAGGAGCATCGTTTCTTCTAATGAGGCAAGTCTAGTGAGCTCCTAATGGGAGCTGGTCTCCAGAAAGCCTGAGCCACAGTGAGGAGCTCGGAATCTTCAGCTCTGCCCCCTAATTCTACAGAGAGGGGTGAGGGGTGGAATCGGAGTTTCTAATCGATCATGCCTAAGTGAGGAAGCCTCCATAAAAATCTCAATAGCACAGGTTGAGATTTTCAGGTTGGTGAACCCATCTACGGTACACACTGGGAGGGTGACGTATCCTAACTCCATGGGGACAGAAGCTCCTTCACTTGGGACCCTCTCAGACATAGCCCTATATATCTCTTTATCTGGCTGTTTATCTGCATCCTTTAGCATATCCTTTAATAAACTGGCAAATGTAAATATTTCCCTGAGCTCTGTGAGTTGTTCTATCAAATAATCAAAATCAAGGGGGAAAATGTCATGCGAAGCTCCGATTTGTAGCCAAATTGGACAAAAGTTGTAACCTGGGGACCTACTACTTTCGATTGGCATTTGAAGTGAGTGTGTGTGTGTGTGTGTGTGGCGGGGGCACTCTCATGGAACTGAGGCCTTAACCTGTGGGATCAGAGGCTATCTCCAGATATACAGAGTCATAAATTTAATATTTACTGAGCATGCATGGTGAGCAAAGGAATTTACTAAGGCAGTTCATACAGTAGTTTGTATAGACATTCCAAAGATGAAATATCCATAGACACTGTCTTTAAGAACTAAGCATCTAAAACACAAGGTCAAAAGGGATTGGTATTAGAAAGTTGAGAGAAGATAAAATAGATTCCTAAGTCAGGTGAGCAGATAAAGTAGATTCCTAAGTCAGGTGAGCAGCCAGGGAGGCCAGGGCCTGATGGTGAGGGGATGAGGAAAAGGGTGCCTCCCCCTATTGATAGGCCTTTTGCCTTCTTGCCTGAATGGCTGCTATGGCAGGGGACATCTCTGATACACCTCAACTGGGAAGCTGCTGCCCACAAGACTAGACACTGTGGGATTCTCAGATGAAACAGTACTTCTCATACATACCCTAAGTTTTACAGCTCTAGGAGAAAGAAAAGAGAAATCCCAGCAGTCTTTTCATCCCAGAAAGCAAACTCTAGTAATCTTAGAAAAGCATGTAATTTCTCATTGTACATTAACAGTAAAACTCATCTTCTTCTGCTTAGGACATCGTCACTAGCTTAAAGAAAAACCCCCAAAAAAACCAGTATCATGCAATTTACAGCTGCTGAATCAACTGCTCTAAAAAACTGTAACTGTTTCCTTTGGAAAGTATAGATTTTAATAGTGTGAGAAATCACAATCAAGTGCAGCAGCAAAAGACAAAAATGAGTT